GCGAGACAAATCGAAAGGGAGGAAAACTGTGACGTGTTATAAATGCAAGGAACAAGTGCACTTTAAACGGGATTGCCCAAAGTGGAAGAAACAGACTGCTGATATGTCATCCAAGTTTGCGAATGTGGTACAGAATGAGGAATCTGATTGCAGTGATGGAGATATGTTATCTATTTCGACTGCACAGTATGATGATGCTTGGATTCTCGATTCTGGATGTTCATATCATATAACGCCTAACAGAGAGTGGTTTGCTACTTATAAACCATGTAACTCGGGTTCTGTTTTTCTTGGTGATGATAGATGCTGCGGTATTGTCGGTATTGGGGATGTCAAAATCAAGATGTATGATGGAACTGTTAGGACATTGTGTGATGTGAGACATATCCCTGAGTTGAAGAAGAATTTGATTTCTTTGGGTACTTTGCATAGAAATGGTTTCATTCCCAAGGCTGATGAGGATAGGGAAACCATTAAGATTGTGAAGGGTGCCTTGACTGTGATGAAGGGGAGGATCACTGCAGGGAACAGTTACAAAGTGTTGGGAAGTATAGTTGTAGGTGGAGTCCATTCGGTGGAGTCGTGTGAAGATAGCACGAAATTGTGGCACATGCGTCTTAGACATCTTAGTGAACATGGCATGACTGAGCTGCATAAGAGGGGGCTTCTGCATGGTGTTAAAACTTGCAAACTCAATTTCTGCAAGTTTTGTGTTCTGGGAAAGCAGACAAAAGTCAGTTTCAAGACTGGGAAAAAGAAGACAAAAGGAATTCTGGATTATGTACATTCAGATGTGTGGGGTCCAACTAGAGTGACATCGATTGGTGGTTCTGTGTACTATGTGACCTTTATTGATGATTTTTCAAAGAAAGTTTGGGTGTATTTCATGAAGCATAAATCTGAAGTTTTTGCTAAATTCAAGCTATGGAAGGCTGAGGTGGAGAACCAGACTGGTAGGAAAATCAAGTACTTAAGGTCTGATAATGGTACAGAGTACACCGATTCACAGTTCCAGAAGTTTTGTGAGGATCATGGGATTCAAAGGCATTTTACAGTGCGTAAAACACCACAGCAGAATGGTGTTTCTGAGAGGATGAATCGGACACTGGCTGAGAGGGCGAGGTGTTTAAGCCTGAATGCGGGTTTGCCAAAGAGTTTCTGGGCTGAGGCTGTAAGTATGGCTTGTTATTTAATTAACAGATCACCACGTGCATCTCTGGATGGCAAAGTTGCAGAAGAAGTATGGACAGGTAATGATGTTAGTTTTGATCATTTGAAGATTTTTGGCTGTCCTGCTTATGTTCATATTCCTGCTGACGAGAGGTCAAAACTTGATGCTAAATCAAAGAAGTGCACTTTTCTGGGCTATAAGAAAGGTGTGAAGGGATACAAGTTTTGGGATCCAGTTGAGAAGAAGACAGTGATTAGTAGAGATGCAGTGTTTGATGAACAGTCTATGTTGGGATCAGATGCAGATAAGGTACAAGTGGAGTTGGAACATGTGCCAGCAGTTCTTGATAAAGGGGAGAGTTCGAGTTCTGCACCTGATGATGTTGATCATAATGTTTCTGGCCCAACTGATGTGCCAGAGAGCTACAAGTTAGCTCGGGATAGAGTGAGGCATCCCAATATACAAGCTCCGGTCAGGTTTGGTTATGAGAATATGGTGGCGTTTGCTCTTACGGTCACTAGTGTGGATCCTTGTACTTTCCAGGAGGCTGTTTCTTGTGAGAATAATGATAGATGAAAGGCTGCCATGGAAGAAGAGATGAATTCTGTACACAAGAATCAGACATGGGAGTT